GAGGGGGGTGGGGGGTAATCGGTGCCCGGTGCGGCGGGTCCCGCCTCACGGCCTGCCCTGTGCCGTTGCAGCTCTCGTGGCGCTGTCCTTCAGCGGAGCCATCGGGCTGACGTTCCTGATGCTGGGCTGCGCCCTGGAGTACTACGGGTGAGCTGGCCGGCTTCCTTTCCCAAACTTCCCTTTGTAGCTGTTAATTGAGGCGTTAATGGCGTTTAATTGAGTTGTCCCGCGCTCTCAGCAGCCACCTGCTTTCTGGCTTTTGGCGTGTGGAAGTTTACTGTGATTAAATCATAGAATCACAAAATGGGTTGGAAGGGACCTTAAAGGTCGTCTACTTCCAACCGCCTCCCTAGCCTTGTGTTTACATCCAAAAACCGACCGAAAGCAGCGCTACGCTTCTTCAGGGAAAGCAGTGCCATCTTGCTGAACGCTCCTTTTTAACCTCGCACAACTCTTCCCCTTACTTCCCTGTTTCTTAAAACAACCCTTCTACCACAAGACTCCAGCTGGGATGTCTATGAAACCTAAAAAAATCCGGAAGAAGCTAATGAGAGCGTGAGGGTGTGCCTTCCCAGCCGCCTTGTGTATACTCCACGATCCCTCTAATTTGGGAAAGCTCTGGATTCCCGGCCTGCTTGTGTGCGTTTCCTGTTCCCCGTGTGCTGACTGTCGGTTTTGTGAGGCGGTGGTGTGAGCTGAATCAGCAAGGTGATGCAAAGTAAAAATCAATTAACGTTTGGGAGAGTCTCTACGCGAGGTCGTACGAGTGCTTGTGTGCAGGGAAATTGAGGTAGAGTTGCCCCTTCGGGTGAAATCTTGTGGTTAAATCACATCATCCGCTTTTCAAACCATAAAGAAGGATTACGGTGATTGCAATTACTATTTCTAAACTGAAGATACGTTTTATTGAAGCATCTATCTAAACTGATGATGTCATATTTCCTTTTTTCCCCTCCTCCCCAGTGTATATTGGCCTCTGTTTGTCTTAATATTTTACTTCATCTGCCCCATTCCCCACTTCATTGCAAAAAGAGTAAGTGATGACAGTGATGCAGCCAGCAGTGCCTGCAGGGAATTGGCGTATTTCTTCACAACTGGAATTGTTGTTTCTGCTTTTGGATTTCCTATAATCCTTGCACGGGTTGAAGCGGTAAGTTCTGCTTGCGAATTTTTGTGGTAAGGCACCAGTTACTATAATCTTTTAAGTTGCACTGTTGCTGTCATTAATTTCATTACTGTGATGTTTCTAGATTCACTCCGATGAAATTTTGTCTGTCAGTGCTGCTTTTTGACCTGAACGAAGGACTTGCATTACTGAAAAGTTTTTAGTTGTGCTTTTTTCCAGATTTGTTTTCGTCCAATACAGGATATTATCTCCTACATCTCATGCCTCTCTGTCTCATCAGCTTTCGCACTGCTTCTTGTGCCACCTTCCTTATTTTTATCTTGGAATGTCTGCTTTCTCCATTTAGGATGCTGAAAACTTGCTGACTGGAGTGCATTATGAGTTAAAAGATAAAAGGCCAAACTTCCAGAGCTACCCTTCTGGTTTTCATGCTTTGTCCCCTTAAAATCTGAGGAAATTCTGCTAGCTTCTTTTCTCTTTGCTCTCTGAACTGCTCTTCAGTGGTGAGACTTTTGTCACATTTGTTTTGCAAGGCAAGAACTCTTTCATCCTGTCTCCCAAACTACCCAGTGACGTTTTTCTGTGTTGCATTGGTTTTCCCCTTCAGTCTTTCGGTTTTGCTTAAAACCTGAGTGCTTGGTTTTAATTTATTTGTAATGCACAATTTCCCTGACGCTGCATTTTTGGTTTTGTGGACCTGAAACTAGGCAGACGCAGAAGTGACCACGAGGGGGGGCTCTAATTCACAGCTACATCTTCTAAGAGTACTTGCTGCTTATTTGAGTAAACTTAGTCGAGCAGATCGTTAGAGAAAGCTATTTACCTTTGAGACCATGTACTGTGTTCCATGCTTGTTACTGGCATTTATTTGAAATATTATCTCTTGCTCTGTTGCATAGCAATTAAAGGAGAGCACTAGTTTTACTAGATTTTTTTTTTCTATGATTTGGGTATGTTTTAGTGGCTTGTAAGGCAAGGTAATTATTTTGTGCTAAAACATAGCGTTATTAGCCTGTCTGTTGAAGTCTTGTATATTAATAATACGAGTGGTTGCTAATTGAGTAATTGTTCATATAAATTGAATTATTTATTGTTTGTCGTCTTGCTTTATGCTTTTAGCACCTTTCTGTAGTATTTCGTTTAGTTTATCTAATGGATATAAATAACTGACCTTAACCTATCTTATAAGAACTGCTTTGACTTTGTCGTTTCCTTGCATTTCAGATCAAATGGGGAGCCTGTGGTCTGGTGCTGGCTGGCAATGCAGTCATTTTCCTTACTATTTTAGGCTTTTTTCTTGTGTTTGGTAGAGGAGATGACTTTAGCTGGGAACAGTGGTAGGACGTCGCTGTGATGCTGGTAATATTTTACAGCATGTATCACCGTATGTATACTCTGTGTGTGTATATGTGTATATATGATAACATACGTGTGCGTGCTGGGCATATGCATGTAGCTTTACATTATCAGATCATGACGTGCTTTTTTAAAATGCATTTCAGCCAAAGGGAGAAGGCCTTTGTGACAGTTGTCTTAATGGAATCACCATTGCAAATTTGTCCCCAAATAAGTTTACAAAACGTAACCTGTTTGACTCATTTTTTTTCACTAATATGCATTAACTTTTGTTGTAATTGCAGTAATATCATTGATACATGTGATGTTGGTCACCTGATGGGTTTTTTAACTGTGTAATCAAAATAGGCCAACATAAAGATTATCCTAATTGGTATTGTTCAGTCTTTCTGCTCTGATTAGGGATGATGAGTACTTTTCATTTGAGTAATTGCAATTTTACTGTTTTTTCTTGGTAACATAAAAACAAACATAGGTTATGCCAACTCTTTTACTACCTAGTGAAAGAAAAACAAAGTAACCCTGATTAATATCCTTCCTTCTGCTTGTGGTGTTCATTTAAAAAATTATTCCCTTCCGAAGATACTCAGGCTTCGTCCCTATTCAACTTAACAACTGTGGATATGTTACAGGAATAATATATATATTTTAATGCCTCTCTAATGCTTAGAGCTGACATTACTTCTCTTATGAAGGTTCACAAAGGAAGAAACTATCCTCAGGCCACTTGCAATCACAATGTAGTGTTCAACTCTGTTTTCTTACGTGTGAAATGTCAAAATTGCAATGAAGTGAGTGTTCTGCTGGGTAGGACTTCTTATCTGTTCAGTTCTCATTGATTTTAAAACATACTTATCCCACTACTATTTTATTTTTGTCTGTAAGAAATATTGCTATATTAAAACACTATATTTTTAAATAGCATTATCCTAGTAAACATTTACGTAATCACGCTTACACAAGCAAACTGTGTTATTGTTTTGACTTGCTGAATCCTGCAAATTGTGGAGGCACGTGATTTTGTAAAACCGCATTTGATACAACCCTAACTCTAGAAGACATCTCGGTAATCTGCAAGGGGGTAAAGGAAGAGACACCTTAGTTTATTATTTCATAGCAAAATGAACATAAAGAGGTTTCTGCTCTGTGAAGTAAGAAGCTGAATTCCTGCACAGGGGATGTTTGACTATTGGAAGTGCTTTAGACTGGTAGATTGCAAACGAGTATTCTATAGTTGTGTGAGTTAGTTGACAGCAGACTGCTATCACCCTGCGTAGCTATGAGGGACGCTGAGTAAGGAGGTAGTAGAATCCACCTTACAAGACGCGGCAGCTTCACCAACTCAGGGCTTCTTGCCCCCTGAGTTGTATGGAGCTACTTAGGCTGCTCTCCAAAACTCCCAGTACTCGTGTACTGCAAACTGGTGTCCTGTGGATTGCTGTGCAGAGCAGAGGTTCATAAATTAATGAATGTTACATGAGTGCTCTGATACTGGGTCTTTTGTTCACGCTCAGTGCCCTAGAAGAAGGATACAGAAATCGTTCTGCAGTCCAAGTAATATCACTTAGGCAGGAATAGAGTATCATGCTTCAGGAAGGTTAATTACATGTTTAAATTGAAACTTCAGATGCGTGTAGGGTGAGCACTTCAGTACTGAGGAATGCTGAGTAGCTGTATTTCGTACTGAAGTGCGTCTAGGCTGTCATTCTTGTCAAAGAAGAATTGATGTTAAAGGACGGTTGTTTTGTTTTCTGGATGTTAAATGCTTCGTCCAAGACGTAAGAGGAATATGCTTGTGAAGATGCTGTGCATCAACAAGTTCTCTTACAATGTATTCTTCCTGACTTTAGGTGAAATCTGTTGGACCCTACTGATTTGTAAAATACTGCTGTGGAAATTATTTGTTCTAATTATGAGCCAGGTAGTTTAGACTAACCATAGTTTCCACATGTAAGTGCTGCTTTGATTTCTGAAGAAGTTGCCTTTTTTTTTCCTATACAATGGCATTTTTCATTCAAATTAGCAAGGTAAACCAGCAACAATAACACACAATTTAAGTGCCTGATCCTGTAAATGCCTGATGTTATTACTAACAGTTCTTTTAAACTCCTGTTAAAATACACATGTGCTTGCAGGGTTAGATTCCTGAGTATTTTTACTTCTTAGAATTTACATACCAAAGGCTGCAATAGAAGTTACAAAACTACTCAATTACTGGTTAAATTTTTCTTTCAAGACAGTGGTGTAAAAACCAGCGGAAATTACTTTTTCTTTGAGCTAGAGAATCGTTATTTGTAGATCTGTTAGTAAATAGTGTGCTTGTGGCAGGTTGGGATACAGGCAGTAAACATACGACAATCTAAAATGGGAAGGAGGATGAAAAAGTGCAGCCTTGAAGAGAGGTTGCTGCTTTGACAAATTATTCAGTTGTACTGTATTTCCTTTGATATTACTGTGGTTGGTGGGTACCTCATGAAATGGCAGGTAAATGTGGAGAAAGTCAATGCTTTTTTTTTTTTCTTCTTCTTCTTTTGACGCAATGACACGCACTAACCCTTAATGTGAACTTCATGCGGTTTTTACCATGGACTTTTATTTTAAAATGTTTAACTTTTAAAAAAAATTGTGTTTAACTCATGGAAATCTTCCTTGACCTCTTTAAATTTTCTTGAATGAGTCTTTGATATCAAATAGGGTTAAAAAAATTTTCAGTGCTTTTTTTTTTTTATCAAGAACTTTCATTCATTCACACAAACCTGGTGCTTTGATGGCCAGTGCTGGGCATACTGTCACTATCTACCAGTAGCAATTTACTGTGGTTTCTCTAAATTGTTTTCCTGTATGGAAGTGAATACTGTGTATCCAAAGTGCCTTAATTTCGATACTATGCCGATTTTTGTGAATGCATACATGGCAATATCACTATGTTTCATAATCAGCTGAAAATCTGTTACTGCATTTTATAAAGCTTCCTTGTCAACTAACCATGTTTTCTGTAATTTGGAATGCAGTGCAGCTTTTGTAACTTTTGTAAACACTATTTTTATTTTCTGTGATTGCCAGGTTCTTGAGATGATGAAGTATTAAAACATGGAAATTAAAACACATTCTACTTCTCTTTTTGAATTGTCTAATAAAACTGGCTTTTTGAATTGTCTAATAAATATATCTGATGCTTAAGTATTTGTCTGTCTTAAATTTCAAGAGGTGACAAAAGACTCTTGTGTGAGGAGAAAGATAAAACGTCTCCTGTGGTGCTGTCACAGTGGTGTGTGATCTAATTGCAGGAGGTGGAATTATTGTTACGACATGCATTAGAATGTATTGTAGTGGCTGTATTCAAATATGCAGGTAAATGACCATCCCTTATCTCTTACCTAAATCTGTGAGCTTTGTAAGGACGTTCAGAAAAAGGTGGTGTGTAAGGCAGTACTTGACCTCTCCCACTTTCCTGGCTTCAAAAGAGTCTGGAGTTAGACACATCTGCACGGGTGGGCAGGGATGCAGGGGGCATCAAAGCTCTCTTTCTTTTCTAGGTCAGTACTCCTGTAGTTGAGTTGGTGAATATATTGAAGTGGGTGATTTTCATCCCACCAGTGCTTGCGAAAACGAAGCCTGCTCAGTTATTTTAATCAATTTGCAAAAGCACCCACCGTCAGGAGGAGGCAGCTGTAGAGTCTGTGTTCTGAGTAGCTGATGCTTTGCGTTTACAGCAACGCTGTGAGCCACGGAGCTTAGGAGAAGGTGAGTATGTTTGCCCTTTGAATCCGTTAGCTGCTGCCTTTGCCCATGTGTTGCAGAATGAGTGGTTGGGATCACTGTTGTGTGCTGCCTCGCCCCAGCTCGTGCTTTGCATATGGGTAACTTCAGGCCCTAGGCTTGGTTCCTCAGCTCCCTTATCTAACCTGGTTCTGGATTTGGTAGTATTATCTGTACAGCGTAACTTCTCTTTCCTATCCCTCCCACTCTTGTTCTTGTAGCTGCTTGTTTTTGTAGGTAAGAGAGCAGTTCCCTGTCAACATATACGTAGCTGGAGGAAAAAATAAAATATGCACAAGGGGCCAGAGCAGGGGGTACAGATCATAGTCTTACACTGGTTTTGTAGTCTCTTCAGTCCTTTAAGAAAGCTGATAACCTTCCTAACTAGTTATGACCTTGGGTAACTTTCTAAAAACTTTAAACAGACTTTAATCCCATAAAATGAACGTAAACTCATTAATACCCAGGAATTAAACAAACTTGTCCTAGTAAACCGCATGTAGATTTTTACTGTTAAACTGAAAATTATGTAAAGCTCTAAAATGATCTCTATAACCCCAATCTCAATTGTTAACACAGCATGACTTCTAAGATACTACATCATTTACTCTGCGGGGATTGTTTCTGATCTATGATAATGGCTGAAAAGACTGTTTCATTAAGCTGGATGCACACCAGGTACTAATGACTAATTGATTTGTTTAAGTGGCTCCTGCAAATATATGACCAGTATATACTGGAGGGCTTTACAGGGATGTGTCTCTTGATAAAACAGGTAAGGAAGCATTGACTGGGGAATGGTTATTAAATTTTAAAGATCAGCTGGACACTCTTATTCCTACGTTCTATTGTTTTGCTTTTGTTCTTTATGTTGAGGTTTATTTCAGCTGTGTCTCTGGGTTATTTTAAAAACTTGGTTGCAGTTTATGCTGTGTGACTAGCACTTCAGCTGGAGGTACTTCCCTTATCTCTTTTTAATTACTAGTTCCTGTAGACTAGTTATAGATTTTAATGAATATTCTGGATACTATTTCTTTCCAATGTCTCATTTAAAGTGGACAGGTTGATTGCTCCTTCCTCTCCCATGAGGGGGGTGATCCCTTGTCTGCATGTGCAGATGGCTTTCTTCCTGCTGGCCCTCAGCACTTGAAAATCCTTAATGGCCATCTGTGAGGCAGATACTGCTGAGGAGAGCACAAGGATTATAAAAACATTCTATTCCCC